GGTCCAAAATTCTTTCTACACCGGTTCTGTGTCGAAAAGCCTATTCTCTTATGCGGGATCTGTTGTTCATGTTTTTACTGTTTGAAAGTTTGCCTCCTGATCGTCGATGACTAGTCGTGCTGGATGGTACTTTATGGTGGCTAAGGGAATGGGCAGGATCTTTTTACACAAATATGTCTATAATCTTACTTTTCTTTATGAGCTTTAGTTTTTCTCCTATAGAATTCTGCGGAATGATAAGATCACTAACGTGATCAAGGCCCAAGAATATTATGAAAAACCCACCAGAATGCGGCGACGCGTGATGTACGAGCGTTGTAAGCGCATCTACGACGCTGAACTGTCTCGTAAGATCAATTTTGTGATGAAAGTAGATAGACCTGACCCATGGCTTCGATAGTCTACCTCTTTCTTCTTTCCCTTCCTCCGCAGTCTATCTACGTGCTTTGTCGAATACCTACACCTCTACACTAAGCATTTCTGCAGAGAGGTGTTTGCTACTTGCAGACTTCAGTACACTGTTTTACCCGGTTGAGCTATCTTCCTTTGCTTCGTTTCAGAGTAGCAAAGTATTCGAGGGTCGTTTGTTGCCTTTAACTTGTTGGTTTTGGTAGAGTGCGCACACTGGTCAGCAATTGCCAACTCAACACAGCGGCATTCTGACGTGTGTTTTCACTACACCAAACCGAATCTTGCTCTGAGTGATCACGTGGCATTTGATTAGGATGGAGAAAGTGTTGATTTTTTGAGAGGGGAGAGGTTAAGGGAGAGGGGTGTAAAAAGTGTTAGGCGAATCAATGGCCTCATGCACGGCATCTATTCGCTTTTTTCCCCATGCGCGGAGCGAAGATCATGCTGGGGATGTGTAAGTAAATTACGCCTTCCACTCCGAACATGTTTAACGAAATTGTGTGGGTCATCAAAATCTAAAACTCCATTTAAATTAAATTGAGTGGAAAGGGTGGGATGTGGTTGTCATTTTAAGGGGAATTTCTGTAGTGACAGGAAGGATTATCGGTGGTGCTTGAGGTAGGTTACGGAAGGGCTATCTGATGGCACGATGGAGAGTCAATGGGATGTCGATTTGTGCTGCCTTGCTCTTCAAATCAAGTTGGTTGGTGGGAGGTTTTGGAAGTCGGATATTAGTTAGTGCTTGGGATTTCATTTTGAAATCTTGCCACTGTCATGTTTGTGTAATGAGGTTGGGGATTTGGTCGTATAGGCGGCGCTATTTTGCAACTTGACTGGGGATCCTTTGTACATAGATCTCTAGTCTGCCATGCGGCGTTTGTGTGTACATATTCATGTAATATATTTACATTAAAGCATCCTCTGGATATGCGTGAGTGTGGTTATGGCGGTGAGCGCTTCCCGTTACGATGGTTGGCGTGCGCTGCCTAAAGTTGCACTGCTTTTCCACTTCTAGGTGTCTACCTGACTAGACATTCCTTTTTATTAGGCCCAACTCCAAGTTCGCTCTCCTTAAGCCGTCATTCACCTGCTAAAGCACACAAAGACTAGTAGACCCTTTTAATCATTGAGGTGGGTGATCATCTAATGCTATGAGCGCTTATTAATAGGACTCAACAAACCTTCAAGGTAAGGTGTGGCGAATCATTCCCCTATTTCTCTAACGATCATATTTGTCGAATTTGGCTTCGAGATTTACTCCTGGCAGAGCCAATTCAAAGCAAAAAAGGTAGGGACGAATTTCGAAGTGGTAATGGCTCATGCTTTCGAACGCAATACTTAAGGCAGATGGTGATTCGTAGTTAAACTCAGCCAACTTGATTCAATGCTTGGCTGAGATGATGGAGGTTGTATTTTACCCACTTTAAACGCGTATTCTTAGGGGCAGCATGGGCCCTTAGGAAGGATGCAAATTATTTTTACTTGCGAAAATGCCTCATTCCTAAGCCCAAAAGTGTTACTTATAACATAGTGTCTCGTCTCAGATCCCATTTCAGTCTCACCGCTTCCTTTCCGTCGCGGTGATGTGGCATTCACTACTTGAGGGAAACGGTATCAAGGTTGTGTAGAAGGGAGAAGAGTGTTCCCAATTCCATCCCCCCTAATTAGAAGTTAAGAGGTAGTGGAATCAAAGTATGCTCAAGTCAGATGGCCCTAACTTTTACGCTATAATGGAGCACACTACAATAACCTGCTACGTCCCAGTCCAAAGCAATGCCTCACAAGATTTGACAATGTGGGCAAGTAGTACTTCAACGCCCTGGCCCACAACATCAGGGCAAGTGTTTGTAGTAGCACCAAGGTTTAAACATATAGTTAGCATTAGCTTAGTGAAAACAAATGCCTGTGTCAGCGTACAAATCAAAATCTTCCCATGCATCCACATTGCCAGCAACTACTGGCTTCTCTGTGGTACGATGGGTTGCCTGGCTTTCGTCGCAAACCCTTTGTCGTGCAGGCGGCCATCATTTTCCTCATTGGTCTCCTCTACCCTGTGCTCTCCCTCTGCTGTCTCCTCGCACCGGACTCGCGTTGGGGCAACATGCTACGAAAGCCCTTCATCAAGTTCATCTGTCAGAGCAGCGCCTACATCTCATTTTTGAGTAGGATTTGCCTTTTCTCCTTCTCTTTCTCCTCCTCCTCCTCCTTCTCCCTCTCCTCCTCTCATTCTTCTCTCTTCTAGCCACCAACCCCACCCTCTCTCCTCTCCCCGGCTTCCCATCCCCACACCTCTCCTACTTTCACCATTTGCGCGCCCCTTGAGAGGTGTTGGTGTT